AAAGAAAGAAAGAAAGAAAGAAAGAAAGAAAGAAAGAAAGAAAGAAATATAGCCATTAAAGGAAAGAGACCTATGGCAATAGCCAGCAGAGATGGTTGGACCAAGTGAGGGGGAAACATGGACATATTTATAAGTAGCAGGAAAGGATCTGATAGATAGGGAGAGACTGAAGATCTCCATCCTCTCTCTTGAAAGCACATTGATTTGATATCCTGTCATCTCTCCCTTGACTTAGAACAGCAGTGGGGGAATTTCTCTACTCTCTTCCCCATACCCTAGGAGCAATGGCCGCTCTGCCTGACTCAGTCACCCAATTCCCCTAGTCATAGAGACCAAATGAGTAATTAGGAGTTGTTATTGGGTCATGCATATCCTTTAAGGATGTTTGAGAGACTGAGGGGAGAAGCAGGAAAAGCCAAGGTAATGACAGGGTTTGCAAACAAAGAGTCAGAGGACCAGGGTTGAAATCCCACTTTTGACACTTGTTACCTGTGTGACTTTGGGAGAGTTACTGTAATGGGGAACTGGTTAATAAGCCCAGCCTGAGCACGCACAGTGTTTGGCTGACGCAGTCCCCACGCAGATTTTAAAGCCTGCACAGATAACTGGGTCTAGTCCGGTGACCCTGTGGTAAAGAGGAACCTCACTGAATAGCCATGGAGGTAGAAGCAGGGTTTGTTCAAAGGGCACCAGTCAATCCTGGCCTATGCCTTTCGGTCTCACTCCCTCCTGCCAGTGACAGAAGAGAAATAATGCAGTAGGAGAAGAGGCCTCAGGTGCAGACATGTAGTCCACGAAAAAGGGCCTGGGCTCATTGCCTCTGCCTTTGTTCTCTCTTGTTTTAAGTGAAGGAGACTGGAGATAACTTTGACCTCATGATCTTCAAAAGGTCAGGAGAGCAATCCACCAAGGGGTCTTGGAGCACAGACCATAGCAGGTTTCGTAGTCAACCAGTTCAGCACTGAGATCCTGAAGAGAGACCTCCAAGTACCAGCCACAAGCATTAAAGACGCCCCTTTTCCACCAGCCACTCAGCAGTGCCCCTACAACCCTGAGGGGGCAATATTGCATCTATCCATCTGTTCGAAAGATGTTTATTATTGGATGGGGGAGGGGCAGGAGGAAAAGCTTTGGGAATGCAAATTTTTAAAAAATGAATGTTAAAAATGTTTTCATATAATTGGGAAATATTTAATGAAATAAAATATAATTTCTTAAAAAGATCTTTATTGAGTACCTACTATGTGCAAGGCATTACTCTACCACCACCTGGATCTGACTAGACATCTCAGCAGATGGTAACCTATAACTGAGCCTCACAGCCAGCTGCACCCAGGTGCTCGGCTGTGTCCAATCCAATCAGGGCTATACAAAGTCCCCTTTTCTCTGCCTGGCTCAGCTAAGGACCTGATGAGGGCGAAAGGGCAGTCACAGTCAACCCACATAGAACAAACTAGAATTCCTTGGGCTCATTAGAAGGTAAAAGGCCAAAAAACAGCTTTAAGATAGGTGGAAAGTCGCTGTTCTCCAGCTCCACCCCCACCCCCCCCACTTCTGCTGTCAGTTCAGGAGAAAATGTAATGAGAAAATGAGCTGAAATTGTCTAAGTTGAGATTGAATTTAGGCATTAGGATTAATTCCCCAACTGGAAGAGGCCTAATACATTGGAATATGAAGGAAATGGTGAATTTTTGTTCTCTAGAGACCTTTAAGAAAAAGGGATGGTGGGGCAGCTAGGTGGCACAGTGGATAGAGCACCAGCCCTGGATTCAGGAGGACCTGAGTTCAGATGTGGCTTCAGACACATAACACTTACTAGCTGTGTGACCCTGGGCAAGTCACTTAACCTCACTGCCTAGCCAAAAAAGGAAAAAAAGAAAATTTAAAAAAAAAAAAAGAAAAGAAAAAGGGATGGAAAAGAAGGGGCCCTAGAAACTCTATGTCCTTCAGGACAGGAACAAAGCATCATTAGTTTAACTAAAATGAAGGCTACTTGACAAAATAAATGCACAGGAAGGCAGAGTTTGCAAGAGACACAACAGTCAACCATTAAATTGTAGCTAGAAGAGGGAGTGGGAGGCTCTTAACCCCCTCAAGGACAGAGGAGGCAGTGCCATGGGAGGGGGAAGGGAGGGAGTGCTGGATCCAAAGTCTTGGGAACTCGGTTTCAATCTTAACTCTGTCGTTTCCCACCCAGAGCATGACTTTAGGCCAATCTCTTTACCAACCTGGGCTTCAGTTTCTCATCTGTAAAATGGGGTGGGGGAGGGGGGTTTAACTAGATGACCTCTAAGGTGCTTTCAGCTCTAAATCAGTAAGCACTATGGTTAGTACTACTCTATAATCAGTACTATGAAGAATGGCATTTAAAGGTACGCCTGATTTAGGAAGAGAAGGGGAATAAGCAATTGTGTGTGTGTGTGTGTGTGTGTGTGTGTGTGTGTGTCTGTGTGTGTCTGTGTGTGTGTGTGTGTGGCACCTACTATGTATGCCAGGCATTATGTTTAAGCACTTTACAAATATGATGTCATTTGACCTGAAAATTACCCTGCAAGGCAGGCACTATTACTGTCCCCATTTTATAGTTGAGGAAACTGAGACAGATAGAGAGTAAGTGATTTGTATGGGTCATACCACTAGGAAGTGTCTGAGGCTGGATCTGAATGCAGGTCTTCCTGATTCCAAACCTAGTGCTCAATCTCCCTTCCTGCCCACTCCCAGGATGGGGTAGTAAAATGAGCTTCTACTGTGCTTTCTACTAGAAATGTAAAGTCTTTATACGCTTGGGTTCAAAACCACCAACTTTATACAGATAAGTATGGCTAGATAGGGATTTGTCTAAAAAAAGATCCGGAGGGC